ATATAGTGGCCTCAAGTGTTTAGTCAATTTCATGGCTAGCCTTCTAAAAATGACCTTTTCGACAGCGTCTATTTCGACTTCTTGCTTGTCTTTTGTTGAACTATCCTTTCATGATAAGTCGACATGCAGTATGTCGCACTGAGCTTCTGCTTCTCGGGCTTCATTTTTACTACATTTCGGAACTTCTTTTTCAATTACCCAACCGGTGGGAGGTGGTAATATTCTTGGAGGTGATCCATACTTTTCAGAGCGAGGTACTCTCTTTTTCTTTTTGGGCATACCGTACAACACATAATAATCGAAAGCACACCCAGATGGTTTTCCCAACAAGTCTACCTTACGAACTCCCTGTCGATGTAGTTGCTTTAACAGAGTATTACGAAATACCCCTCTCTTTTTTCGTTCTGCCTCCAGATCGATTTCTTCTTCGATGTCTGTCATACCATCATCCTCTTCATCATTGTAGGCCCCTCCAGAAGTTTGGCCTTCTTCACATTCCAATACACACACTTCTTCTTCGTTATCCTCTTTATTCTTGAATTCATTGGCTAGTAAATAATTATTAGCCATGACAGGAGGTAACGTACGAAACTGAATAGTAAAGGATTGATCTAGATCTTCCTCATCCCTTCTGTCTCGCTCAAATTTTGATCTCTCAGAAGAACTTTCTGGCAAGTCTACCATCGGTTCGCCTGTACCAGACTCTTCACTGTTCCCGAGGACATTTTGATTGGCCACCTCTAGTATCTTAGGTGCTTTAGGACGTGCCAATCCCCGTTGTTGCCTCATCATTCATCTATAATTCCGTTGAAAACGCCATTGTTGGGTTCTAGTCATCTCGTTGAAGGGCGTCACTCTTCCTGCATTATACTGAAATGAATGTCATACATTCGGTTGGCAAGGTTGTGGCCTAAATGTCCTCACATTATTTGTTGGCCTGAACTGCCTCTCAAAACGTGGTCATCTACAGAATGACGTACCTCGCAATCTAACTGGCTGCGCTTCTGGAATAAAATCAGGGTGATGGTAACGATGTCCTGTTCCTGAGCTTCCTGTCTTTGTACTCACTTTTCCCTTACATCTGGCACATAGGACGTCTTCGTCCTACTTGGGTTTCTTCCCTTTGATGCGTTCGAAAACACTAGGGAGTGGCTCAGAGTCCTCTTCTCCGTCATCTATGACCAATTTGAATTTTTGTAACTTGTTTTTAAATCCAGTGTCACCATATTTACTCCAAGTGGTTGTAGAAAAGGGTTCTCATCCACTGCCATCTTCTTCTTATCTTCGAACATAATTCGTCCTGATTAAATGGCACCTGTAACACATGACGGAAAACTAAACAGTTGTTAGTCAAATGTGAC